CCCCCCTCCTCCAGCCTCCCCTCCCCCACCCCCTACTTACCAACTCGGAGTCCCAGTCCAGCTCCCTGCTGCAGCCAGCGGGGACTACCCGAATCACCGAAGCTCTCCGAATCTTTTCCCAATTGATTTGGAGAGCTTTGAATTGATTCGGACCTTTTCACTGGTCCCCTGGTTCAATTTGGATTTGGAGATTCGGACACCGAATCATGCCGAATCTCCTCCAAATTGAATCGGCACCAGAAGCTTTGCACAGCCCTAACAAATACTTGTTCTCTTCTTCCAAATCCTCCACAACATTATTTTCTTCAGGAATCCCACTTCATTAGAAATGCTCCCACCTATCCAACTTTTTATGACTGACATAGAATTCTGACCAAACCTTCTTCTGGGTGTCCCAGTGACACATCACTGTTCAGATGATGAAGTCTTCAGTGCAAGGTCTACAGTGCCCATCTACCTTCTTATGTAAGGGACTAAGCTCACTGGTTTCACTTAAAATGATATCATCAATACTAGCAAGCCATTTAGAATTCAAAATACGTTCCAGATGGGTTGGGGGGGTGGGAAGGGGAGAGCGCAGAAATATCAGTCCCCACATTTATCTTTGCCCTCACTCGTTTTTCCTTTTTTAAGATTCTTCCCTTTATCTTAGGCATGTCAGCTCTTCCTCTTCTGAATGTTACATTTTATGAATATCTCTTTTCTACAGAGAGTTGCCTAAAGCTATTGGTCGTCCACAGTGCAGCCGAATTAATGCAGTTGATAAGCAATAAAAAGGAGAAATGTTGGCAATATATGATTACAGATTAAATGATGCAATTTCAGGGTCAACACTACAGAAGGCACTTATGAAGAGGCTGACAAGTGAAGATGAATGGCAAATGAATGAGGGCAGTTATGGTATTTAATGTACATTTGCCTTCTCAGAGATCTGTAGACTCTGCTACCATCTGCTGGCTCATGAAAAAGAGCCAGAGAGTCTATTTTAGTGGATCTACGTACATAATCTTTCAGCTGTCTCTCATTATGAGAACAGTCCTTATTTCAGGTCACAGTATACCTTCAACCTCCAGACTTGTCAATTAGCCTCTCTTTTGTATTCTGATACATTTCTGACAGCAGGCATGAGGAAGAATGGTAAAGACGCACGGAAAATATATTCTCAACCCAAATAATGTTTCCTACAGTAAATACACAGTTTGTGCATTTTTTTTTTAACTGAATCAATATAATTAGCTACAGTTTATTCTAGAGGGCAGAGGGTGAAGACGGATTGAAAGGCATTCAATTTTGTTTCGTGAATGAATATACCTTCCTGTAACATTTTCCTATACAATACACTCCCTCAGATCTCAGCTGGCATAGTTCCACTGGAGTCACTGGAACGATGTAGATTGACATCTGCTGAGAGTATAGTCCAATAAACGTACATTCTAGATTTTACTTTTACATGTAAAGTAGCCTCCAATTTATATATTACGAAGAAAGGGAGCATACACAGATGTCTGCATACACCTCATTTTGATTTTTTTAATAACCGCCCCCCCCAAAAAAAACTGCCCAACTATCTTTATCCCTAGATATATGTAAAATATACAGAATATTTTCAGATCTCAAAAAAATCCAGTATTAAACAGCAGACTCTTCCTTGTTGATGTAATCTGCTAGGACTAACAGAAATGGTTTGAAAATGCTCAATCCCTTCTCCAAACCCCTTTAGGAAAGTAGCTTAACATTAGGCCAACCCCATAAATCTCATTTTAGATTTCAAGGCCAAAAGTGAACACCACAGCCATCAGATTCAAGTTAACTCACAATACCCCAGCATCCCAGCATGCTTTGCACCTTCCTCGCAAACCCTGCTTCGCACCTCCCCCACAAACTCCACTTTGTGGGGTAGGTAGGCTAGCTTTGCCCCATGCTGTCTGCTCCAGCTAATATGGGAGACATACTCTAATGCCCCCCAGCTTTTGGCCCGGGCCACTGTAGGCATGTGGCTGCATTTCTAAAAGTGAATGTCTATTCACTTGCTTATAGATTCAATGTATGTTGCTTAGACTAACTTGCAAAGATTGAATCAATTCATCCTTGGGCCTTTTCACTGTCTGTACTTAGCCCTGCTGATTTTTCCTGTATCTCACAGGTCATAGAATTACCCACAGAGATGCCTGCATCTTTGTACAAGCTAGGCTAGCCTATCCAAAATATTCAGCTTCTGCAGGATCGTCCTTTCATAAATGGGGCTGAGACTTTTAGGGCATCTGGATCTAGGGTATAACAGATAGCTGCTGACAACAGCATTGGTAAGATGTCAGAGGGACTGTTGCCCCTTGGGGAGCATCAGCAAGTCCACAAGGGAAGCCAGCTAGACTGGTCAACAGTAGTTAGGATCAAGTGATCCCTTACCAGCAAGCAGCCTTTCTTAGGACTGTGAGGGGAGAGATGAAATATAAACCAGGTGAAATACGCTGAAACTGACAAACATTTTCTGAGCCAACACTGCTTGTGCTATTTTGACTGAGGGCATGGTCAACCCAGGCCCAAAATGTATTACAAACAAGGATTCCTCAGTTCTCTGGGATCTGCTAGAAAATGTTCAACAATAAGACTAATATTGGGGCTTAAACTAGCTTAGACTAACTGTTTTTTTCTGAACAGGGACCCAAACTAAAAACAAACAAGTTGCTTGAGGAGGCATACAAAGTTACAACCTTTAAAGAAACGGTGCCACATATAATAGCTTATGAACAATACATCATAGTTTCCATCACTAAAAGAGGATTTATGTGAGCTCCCCACCCCAACAAGTATAATGATCATTGGGTTCAACAAGTACAGATATCATATGAATGAGAAAAAACAAAGAACAAACTTTAACTGAGGACCACTAGGCAACCTCTGCAGACCCTTTGTCTTCAACCAGCCAGCAAATTGTTCCTGACAGAGGGACGATCTTCCAGTTCCCAAATTCTTCATTCTTCTGTGAGGGACCATCTCTAAATTTTAACTTCATTACATCTTCCTTCTTAATATCTACAAAAATCAATTAACAAAAATTAATTAATATCCATCTACAAAGGAAAGATTATTAGCACACCACTACAGAATGAGTCTTTGCTTTCCTATTTCCCCTTGTCTGCAGCTTTTTTGACAAGTCTCTGTGAGTATTTTTGGACATTGCTCTCCCTTTTCAGAGCAACAATTTCAGATAAAATTTCTGTTTTGTTTTAAGTGGGAATCATTTCCTCAAAGTCTTGATAGATTCAAGCCCTTATCATGAGATCTGATTGACTTTCACTTTTGACAGCTGTGCTTTTGCACATGGAACAAAGTTCATTAGCTACAGACCACTGAGACAGATTTCATCTTTCTGCATGAGAGTATTTGCATTTGTGTCCATTGGTACATTTCTTCCCATTCAGGACTTGGTTACTTCCTGTGTTCTGGAGTAATTGGTTTCTTCCTAAGAAGACTGTTCAGCTTTAGACTGGGCAACCAAAAGGAACACCAGGGGTGCTTGTACACATGAGTGGGGTTTAGTTCCCCTAAATTGAAAATGGTGGGTTTTTAATTGGTATGTTTTTAATTGTGAGGATTAATTGGGAGGATCCAGCTGCCAGCACACCCAGCCACCCTCCTGCCACCTTCCTGCACTGCCCCAGAGGCAAGCTGCCTGTTGCCAGGGCAGCGCGGGGAAGCGACAGGAGCTGTATGACATGTACACATGACAGATTTCTTGTCCACAATGGGACTATTTGCCACAACCAAACTAAAATACTTCAGAGGTGGTCTAAGTTGCCATGCTCAAAAAAATTGACACAAAAAAAATCATGCACACATATATGGCGATGCCATTATTTTAGACAAATGGCAATTTCTCGTCACTTTTCATCACATGTACATGGCCACATCATCATGTGTACAAGCACCCAGGAGACATGAATGTCCTGCCTTCTCATACTGCAAGCACACAGTTAACTAGATTCAGTTTCTTTCAAGCTGCCAGAACCCAAATTGGTGTCACCTCCCTACATACCACAATGAATGGGAGTTTGTACACTCTATTTTTATACTGGATGCATGTCCCTTTCACTGGTACACTTGTTCTTGAACAGCCAGTTATTTTGACGTTTAACTCATTTTTGTTCTCACTTTTCACTTTCTATGTTCATGTTCTGAGCTCCAGTGTTCAATTAAAATGAAACCATTGTTCCTTGCATTTCTACTGGAAAATCTAGTCCCTCTCATTGATTTTGCTTGATACAACCATATCTATATAACATTCTTCTGGTATGCTTTCCACTGTATGCACTTGAAGTTTTGGTGTTTGGGACCTGGAGAAAAGGTTCCTCTTGTTACAGTTAAAACAGCTTTCCAGATGCAGCACATTTGCATATATGTTGTCTTCTACACTTACTACCATTTACTTGTTTGCTCTCTCTCCATTAGCATGCTCCTTGGCAATGAACAATTTTACTCTGTAAGGTGTATTCTTACTAGTGGATAATTCCTAGGGCTGTGTGAAGCTTTGTTTGCTGATTCAATTCGGAGAAGATTTGGCCTGATTTGGTGGCTGAATCTCTGAATCTGAATTGAATCAGGAGACCCATATTAATCTTTCCAAATCGAATCAGAAGCCTCCAATTTGATTTGGAGAGATTTGATGATTCAGCCATAGACACAGATTTATATTGCCAAGCTGGGGGGAGGGAGGGTGTGAGGGGAACTACACTAGTTCACTGCTACCTGACTAAAGAACCATCTCCTGATTCTCAACTCCCTTGGTCTCCTATGAGGGAGCATCTCTATATTATAACTTCTATCACTGTAACTAGATCATATCTAGAAGTGACATGTGTTTAGCTTCACCATTAGGGAGAGGGAATGAAGGTTTTCCTTTTCTCCACATCAACTATGTAGTCTAGAACACTAAACAAAGCTCAAGTCTCCCATACCATTAGATGGTTGGTTTAGAAACTGTACCTAAATAAGCTATGATACTGTAAGAGCGATGTTGTAGACCATGAAGGTCCAGAAATTATGCAAGCAACAAGAATTTCTTAGGGTGATAGCTTTCTATCTATGGAATAGATAGAAAGTGGAATAGTGCTCAGCACTCCTGATGGAGTGCTGAGCAAAGTTGCTCATGATAGTGCCAAAGAAACCTGGGAAAGGTTTCCTCATACATACACCATTACCTTCCTAGAAAAGGAAGAACAAATCCTCATATTATTGTGATCCCAACAGTCAACAACAGTGAGGGCAGCAGGTCTGAAACTACTTACTCTTGTGGGAGAATAGAGTAATACAAGATAGAGCAAATTTAGTTAATCCCACATACATTGGATCAATGGCTGGCATGGCTATGATACCACAGTGGACATACCAAAGGGCCTTCTTATGATCCCACCCACTCTTCAGTAGACCTATTTTGAATTCACAGAAAAAAATGGAGGAAAAAAAGGGTTAAAATAGCACACACTACTCACTGATGGGACAAATTCCCCAAGAGAACATACAATCATCTAATTGTCACACTGCTTGTAACCCTGGAAAAATAAAACCAAGGTTATTTTAGTCAATGAAGTAGCAAGGAATGTGTGTGTGTTTATGCCTCACAGATTGTGCTAGTATTGCTTTTCAAATAAAACAGGCATATAGGACTGCTACATGTTATCTTTTGGGGAGAAACAAA